CTGCTGTTACACAACTCTGCAGTCAACATGCCCTGGTGCCATCATCCTTCACTATGAAAAGCAGGGGTAGCAGAAGGGACCCAGTTTCTGCACTGCCCTGCGTGAGCTGCCTCACCTCCAGGGAGACAGCACCAGCATACAAGCACTTTCTTTCTCTTCTCTTTTGTGCAGGATGACCACGTCTGTGGATGTCCTCGTCTCCATCTGTGTGATCTTTGCCATGTCCTTTGTTCCTGCCAGCTTTGTGGTCTTCCTCATCCAGGAGCGCGTCAGCAAGGCCAAACACTTGCAGTTCATCAGCGGGGTGAAGCCAGTGATCTACTGGCTGGCCAACTTTGTCTGGGATATGGTAAGGGCAGGAATACGCTGTGTCACTAGACACAGGATCACAGAAATAAGGGTGGTTTCATGAAGGGCACTGTATTTTCCTCTGAGAGCATTTAGGTTTGAGAAGGAACATCTTTCCCTTTAGGATAGCTGAGGAGAGAGGAGGCAGTTCTTCCTCTGTGCAACAAATCAGCTTTGCTGTAAGCCCAGGCAGCCACCAGTGCTGTGCCCAGTGTTATGTGGGCGTTTGGACATGCACGCTATTTATAGGGGTGCTGAAAAGCAAGAGTTTTGTCCTTCAGCATGCAAGTCGTTGTGAGGAATGCATGATGTGACAGTACAGTTGATGGAGGCTAGTGGAGGAGCTGAGATGTGAATCTGAGGAGCAGTTGTGCTTCTGATCTGCTGGGAATCCTTGAGGTTTTCCCTCTGTATCTGTCAGCTTTCTCTGAAACACTTATCTTTTTATTGCCAGTAAGGCTGTCAAGACAAGGACTGTCCTCCACTCTGTTTACAGGATGTCCTTTGCACTAAGGTGCAAGGTGCAGTTGGAGCTAATGGGCACTGCATTAGTATAAAGAGTAACAGCTGTGCTTATATTTTCTGCATGTGCTTTCTTAAGGCAGTGGTTGGGAAAAGGAACATGGGTCAGGGGATGTGAGGTGAGCTCCATCATCAATATTTATTATATCACTTTAAAATGCTGGTCCTTCCAGATAATACTTCTGCAACCACTTGTTCTGCTCCATTCAAAGCAGGAGTTTGCAACCTGTGGTGTCCAAAACCTCTGTGAATCTATCAACTGCCTCTAGAGGGACCAAAAAATGTAAACACACATATAGGGCACTACATTTTACATGCATAACACTCATAAGCGAGAGTCCCATTGGAAGCAGCTCTGAAAACATTGAAGAATGTTGAAAAACAATGGTTTGGGGAAGAAAAATACTTTTGATATTGTCTTCTGGATACAAATGTGAAACTATTTTCGTTCACTTCCCAGTGCAACTACATTGTTCCAGCAACGCTGGTCATCATCATCTTCATATGCTTCCAGCAGAAGTCTTATGTGTCCTCCTCCAACCTGCCTGTGCTGGCCCTCCTTTTGTTTCTCTATGGGTAAGGGACTTCTCACAAGCTTGACTGGGGAGGCACTTATGTTTGGGAAGTGCTTGTCTGATGTTGCTGCCTTTCCTTTTGACAGGTGGTCGATCACCCCTCTCATGTACCCAGCCTCCTTCGTGTTCAAAATCCCCAGCACAGCATATGTGGTACTGACCAGCGTGAATCTCTTCATTGGCATCAACGGCAGCGTGGCCACCTTTGTCCTGGAGCTCTTCACTAATAATGTGAGTGTCACCAGTAGCTTGTCCCTGCCTGGGTCGCCAACAGTTTGTTCTGTGTTGCTGCCATGCTGCCCATAGCATGTTCAGTCGGGTTTTGGATATCTCCAAAGACAGAGACTCTGCAGCCTACACTCTGGGCAGCTTGTTCCAGTGTTCGTTCAATCTCTAAGACTTTTCGAGCCCTAAGCGTTCATTTTGAGCCTTAAGACTCAAAAACACTTTTTCCTCATGGTTAAGGGGGATTTTCTGTATGTTCCTCATGAGGGACAGTCTCTGGCAGCTATAGACCATTCTCAGTCGTGCCTTCAGAGATGGCTATCTCTCCCTTGATTGTGTTGGGAACATGTGCACCTCACATCATCTTTTCCAAGGCCAAACACCTAATAAGGATGGTGCAAGTTCTCCTCATCCCTCTATGCAACATGGCCCAAATTGGTGGGGAATGCTCTGTGTGGAGGTGGGATGAGGAACCCTGTGGGACTAGGCTCTCTGCTATACCACTGAGTGTGAGGGTGAATAGGCACGACCTGGCAATGGTCCTTTCTGCACCAGAGCTCATCTTAGGTTGGTAGAAACACAAGCATGCTCGAAGACAAGTAACCTGTAGGAATAGGAACCCTTCTTCAGGCTGCTCACGGTCTAATCTGTGGGCTGGATAGTAAAGAAAGCCAACAGATGTTTACTTGGAAATCGGAGGCAAAAACTGAAATGAAACGGAGGAGGGTTAGGACATCATATAGTGGCTTGACCTTATCTAGGGAAGGAACTACATGCAGCCACTGAGATGGCCAGTCTGTGCAAGCACAGCTTTCTTCTCTTCAGCGTTTTCAGTCCATGTTTATCACTTGCCTTTTACACTGTCAGCCTTTGGAGGAAGCATTGACTGTCCAGAGGGGTCCTTACCGTGACTCTGGGAGGAGCATTTTTAATCCTTGTGCTTTTGTTGATTGCAGCATAGGGATAACAGATGACACTCGGCAGATGCTGGCTGCTGCTTGCTGAAATGGCTCACTGGCCCTTGGTTTTGTCTTCACAGAAGCTGAACAACATCAATGACATCCTGAAGTCGGTCTTCCTCATCTTCCCGCACTTCTGCCTGGGGCGAGGACTCATCGACATGGTGAAAAACCAGGCTATGGCTGATGCTCTGGAGAGGTTTGGTAAGTGAAGGACGGGCACAGTGGCCTGAACAGAGCAGAGAAAGCTCAAGCCTGCCCCAGATGAGCATCACTTGCTCCTCTGAACTATCACTGACTGATGGTGCTGTTTGCTGCAGAGATTTGGTCAAAGCTGGCAGATTTTCATACCCGTCCCATTAAGATTGTTATGGGGACTGAAGAGGGTTTGGCAGTTATGCGCTAGGATTTTTGAGTTGTATGGACATTAATTCAAAAATGTGTGAACTGCATGAATGAGATTATTAAGCTGAGCAGAAGTGACTGAAATTCTGGAGAACTGAATCATTTTGGGGGGCCTTATAGCCAGTGCCAGACACGAAGCAGTCTTTGTCCTTCACTACCCCCTCCACAAGGTAGCCCAGCTTCCCTTTGGCAGACTATATGGTCTCATGGCTCGAGTCACCTCTTCCTAAGAACGTGCACCCAGTCCCAACTCGGCTACCATAAGAAATAAGCCCATGTGTGGTCCCACGCACCACTCTCCAGTTGTCTCCAAGCCCAATGGGGTGATCTCTTCAGTTAGAAGTGCCAGCTCTTTGCTCCCAAAAGCTGAATGTGATCTTCCTCTCGCCCTGCCAGGAGAGAACCGCTTTGTGTCTCCTCTCTCGTGGGACCTGGTGGGGAGGAACCTCTTTGCCATGGCGGTGGAGGGCGTAGTCTTCTTCGTCATCACCGTGCTCATCCAGTACAGGTTCTTCATCAAACCCAGGTGGGTGGTTCTGCTCGCTTCGCCGCTGCAGGCAGAGGAAGACACCTTTGGTGTCTGCCATGAACTAGGTTCTGTCTTCTCCTGTTAATGCTTCATCATGTTGCCCTCTGCAGGCCTGTCTATGCCAAGCTCCCTCCTGTGAACGATGAAGATGAGGATGTAACCAGAGAGAGGCAGAGGATAATCAGTGGCGGAGGACAGAGTGACATCCTGGAAATCAAGGAGCTGACCAAGGTGACAGCAAGAGTCTTGCATTTGTCTCCAAGCATCATTGGCACAGGGCCCTGTAGTTTGCCATGGGCCTTATTCAAAGAGCAAAACGGGAGCATGTTTGGAGTGCTGAATGCATATGGTTCTGTAGTTCTATTTTCCATGTTTTTCTTATTTTTTTCTTTCTGGTTTCAGATTTACAGAATGAAGCGAAAGCCGGCAGTTGATCGGATCTGTGTTGGAATCCCCCCTGGAGAGGTAAGCTTGTTTGTCAGACTTACTGCCTTGCTATTACGGTGGTTTGTAAGAGAAGCAAAACAAGATGGAAGCAGAGTGAGATCAGAAATCAGTTTAGAGTGAAGAGAATGTCCTGGTGGTTTAAACAGTTCTTGTGCCAGCCCCTCTCTTATTTTAAGGAGGATACTGAATTCATTGATGTCTGAGACCAAAGATCAAGCAATAGTACCCTCCAGCATTTGGCCCAGATACACTTTGGTGGCACTACCAGATACTACTCTGGTGGCACTGGTGCATGGACTCATTTCAAGCATTTGAGCTTGAAATGAGAGATCAGAAACTTATTTTGAAAATGCAGTGAAGAGGAACCTTTGGAAGCTGCAGGAATTCAGGCTTCTCTGGACTCTCCATCCTGTGGGTTGAGCATGCTCCTTCCTATCTTGCACGTTCCAGTCAGTGGTGGAAACTCTGTAGCTGAGTCCTGTTCTCAGACACGCTGTGTTCTTCTGTATCCTCAGTGCTTCGGGCTCCTGGGAGTAAATGGTGCTGGCAAGTCATCCACGTTCAAGATGCTAACTGGTGACACAGATGTGACAGGAGGAGAAGCTTTCCTCAAAGGAAACAGGTGAAGGACCATGCATCTTTCCTCTGCCCTGTATCAGATAAAATCCTTGGCTGTTTTCCCCTCCAGCTTTTGTTCCACCTCCACTAGGTATAAACCTGGCCACCTTTCTGCCTTTTTGAACTCCAGGCATCTGCTTCAACTCTTTACAGAGTAAAGTACTTCAGTTGCTTTGGAAAGTGGACTTAATCTAGTAATCACTTCTGAATATCTGTACCCATCATGTTTAAACATCACATTTTAAAACCATGCATTTGGCACAGGCAGACTTTGAGGATCCCATATATTTTTTGGTCCACGGATTCCAAAACCACTGGTTCATCTTCTTCCTTTTATTACCTAAAACAGCAGCCTGCACTTTGTTAAAATCCTAACAAAAGCATTTTTTCTCCGACAGTATCTTGTCCAACATCCAAGAAGTCCACCAGAACATGGGCTACTGCCCACAGTTTGACGCTGTTAATGAACTGCTGACGGGGCGAGAACATCTGGAGTTCTTCGCGCTCTTGAGAGGGGTCCCAGAGAAAGAAGTCTGCAAGGTAAAGGAAACACAGAGCATAAGGGAGCTGTGTGACCGGTCAATCTTGCTAACATGCACCCTCCCTGGGCACACACACACTGCAGTGATGCTCTGGGCGGCTGGGGAAGGTCGTTTCTTCCTGGACAAACTAAAGCCATGGCTCTGATTTTATTTTATTTTTTGTCAGTGCAGCCTGGCAGGGTGTACTAGAGGGGAAGGCTGGTATTTTGGACCATGCATTCTCTCACTGGATGCACTTTCCCACTGAACAGTTTGTTTTTTGCAGAAGTTTAAGCACTGGGGAGATGCAATTCATGCTCAACCTCACTTACTGTCAAGAGTTAATTCCCTAAAGCAGTAGAGGAAAAAAACATGTAATAACAGAGTATAACAGAAGTTTCACAATGGCTGTTGTGTCTTTCCAAGTGATGCCACCCTAGCACTAAAATACCACTATTTCGATATCCAGCATGGGGTTCCTCTGCACTGTTCCCGCAGGCCCCATGTGGGAAGGGTCCTGGTGCCGAGCGTGATCCAAATGGCAACCGAATCTCCCGTTAGATCTTTCCAGTGCCTTGGGCCTGTTGGCAGGGTGACAAATACCGCTGAGCGCTGCACGAGGTCCTTGTGGCCTGCCCACGGGGCTCGGGGACATGGTGGTTTCCAGAGCTTCCAAGGACAACGGCGCTGCGGAGGTGCCGGGTTCCTGCAGGAACCGTGTGCTCTCTCTTGCAGGTTGGCGAATGGGCCATTCGGAAACTGGGCCTCGTGAAATACGGAGAAAAATACGCAGGGAACTACAGTGGGGGCAACAGGCGCAAGCTCTCCACAGCAATTGCCCTCATTGGGGGTCCTCCCGTGGTGTTCCTGGTGAGTCTGCAGGATGTCCCGCTGAAAAGCAGACAGCGGGGCTGAGTGAAGACTGCATAATTGATGGCCAGCTAGCATTTAAATACATCATTGGTCACTTAAATGTGAGCAAGAACATATGTAGCTGAAGATGCCCTGTTTAAATGTGGGATCAAAAAATAGCAGGCTTCTATTCCTGCAAATTTGCTGGAGAAGTGGGGGGCTCAGACATATTGCCAGACTACCAACCATTACAGCATTTTCAGCACTGGGGCACTGCTGCTAGGATTTGTGCGCTTACAAAAAAGTATGGCTTTTCTGCCCTCAAGAATCAGCCCAGTGTTTCTAATAATTCTGTGAAATTCAGAAATGGAAAAACATAAGGTTTACTAAAATTCTTACTGATAGGAGAAGAATGATCTGTGTAATCTTCATCTTACTGCATTTAATTTGTTCTAGAACTGGATATTTTGACATAATTGCAGAATAAGCAGTACTTCTGAAATCTTAAATAGATGTTACCTAATTTAAAATTTGGAGCATAAATTACTTTTCCATTTTGGAAAAACAAGTACTCAAGATTGTTTCTTATGCCTAAGCTCTCCAGCATGCATAATGGGAATGGCCAGGTCGTTTCAGAGATGAGGCTATTTTTACCCATAGAGTGTAGCTGATTTTTCCTGCCCGTTTTGCAGGACGAGCCGACCACAGGGATGGATCCCAAGGCGCGCCGTTTCCTGTGGAACTGTGCTCTGAGCGTCATCAAGGAGGGGAGATCCGTGGTGCTCACGTCTCACAGGCACGTAGCGACCCGGCTGTGTCCCTCCCCGCTGCTCTACCTGCTGGGGTGGTGTCTAAATCCGGCCGCGTGAGGTGCTAACGAGGTCCCTTGTGCTTTCAGCATGGAAGAATGCGAAGCCCTGTGCACGCGGATGGCCATAATGGTCAACGGGCGGTTCCGGTGCCTGGGCAGCGTCCAGCACCTCAAGAACAGGTAACTCCTCTTCCCATTTGCACCACAGAGCTGTCTGCATTTTTAGGGAAATAAAACACATCAGTCCTGTTTTCACACACAGCATTCCTGTTGCTTTTTGGCTGCAGGGAAGCTGCAGGATTTTAAGTTGTGCTTCTTTTTCAAAGCTGCTTAGCTAAACCGTGCTGCCCCTCTTGTCTGCAGATTTGGAGATGGTTATACCATCGTGGTGAGAATTGCAGGGGCAAACCCAGACCTGAAGCCGGTTGAGGAATTCTTTGGGCTTGCCTTCCCTGGAAGTGTCCTGAAGGAAAAGCATCGGAATATGCTTCAGTACCAGCTTCCTTCTTCACCATCTTCCCTGGCCAGAATATTTAGCATCCTCTCCCAGAACAAAAAGAGACTCCACATAGAAGACTACTCCGTTTCTCAGACCACTCTTGACCAAGTAAGTTTCTAGGAGCCTGCCTGACAAAACACCTGCCAGTAGAAAAGGGATTAATCCACCAACTTACTGACACTATCTTAAGAAAGCATTTCAGCAAACCAGAGCCTAACCTCCATGGCTAAGCCAAGGGGTGAGTTAGCTGTGAGCAGGTAAGTTGGAAGACTTGCATGCAGCAGCATCTTGGAGAATTTCTTATGTTCTCAGGGTTAGATTTTAAAAATATCTTTATTATTGTATACCTGTTCTAGGCCCATCCCTTACACCTGTGTTGATCATTTTTTCTGACAGTGAAGACAAAGCAATTTTTCAGAATGTGAGAGTTACCACAGAGAACAAATTCACGGTAACTCTGGCTCTTCCACACAAAATACGGAAGGCAACTTAGGAAACTTTATGCTGGAAAGAGAATTTTTTCCTCCTTTATCACGTGATTAGAAGATTTGTAGGCAGTTGCTTCAGAGAATTGGATAATATTGCATCTCGTTTATGGGATCAAAGCCCTGTCCTTTTCAGAGCCAGTACTGAACTCCAGGACTAATCCAGAAATGTTCAGGTATAAAATACCATGAATGAATCAAAACCTACAGTGATTTGTAACACAGTCCTTTTTCTTGTAGGTATTTGTAAATTTTGCTAAGGACCAAAGCGACGACGACCACACTAAGGACCTGTCATTGCACAAAAACCAGACTGTGGTAGATATTGCAATCCTTAATTCGTTCCTGCAAGATGAGAAGGTGAAAGAAAGTTGTGTGTAAGCCAATTTCAGCAAAGAAATGGTGAGCAGAATGCAGACTGCCTTTGCCTGGGTATGACGCTACCAAGGAAGAAGCTAGCAGAAGAGAAACTGGACACTCTACTGATAACCATTCAATGCAACGCAATTCAATGCAAAGAAAACAAAATTCCTTTACGGAGGCCGTGCCTCGTGGAGTCGTTGTCTTGTACTGTTCTCAAGTGAAAGACTTGAAGTTAGCTCATTACAGTATAACTCTGTGAAGCTGTGGTAAAGCACCCACCAGATGCTGTGGGCTTTCAACCATACTGTATCTTGTCCCATACAGTGTATTTTTCCTAGGGTTGCAAAATTAGTTAATTGAGGAATCTTGGCCAGTGGTTATTTATTGATATTTTAAAGACATGCATGTTTGCTCTTGAAAACATTCATGTCAGGAATGGGGATTACCTGGTGCTATATCCATTGCTGGCAATGAATGCACCAAATTAGTCAGTGGCAAGAAAAGTCACCAAATAACACAGTCTTGTGGCCTTATTTTGTGAAAAGTGACCTGACCATCTGCTTTTCCTGGACTGGTGTAGGTCATATGGGGATAAATCTGAGGCCACAAAGCTGAACTGTGCAGATGGGTTGTATGGACACGATAGCCTGTCTCTTATCATCTACTTCAGTGAGTGGTGATATGCAGAACTGTGAACCCTGCAAATGCACAGGATTGTCCCACCAGCATCAAAACCAATAACCTACTCTGACTAGGTTTTTTTGTGTAGTCAAGTACTCTCCTGAGCAGCAAACTCACTGGTTGTACAAGCTGCTAATGCCAAGAGCAAATGCTAAATCATAAGACATCACTCAGATATGTAATGTCTGCTCTTTAACCCTTGCTTTGCACCAGAAAGGTACCCATCATCTGAAGTTATTGCTTAGCACAAGTAAGTTGCCATTTCTGGCTTTGCCAGATAAAACTAGAAACAAGATGTAGATTTTTTTTTAACAGTATTATTTATGTGAGTTTAATAGATAGGTAGCATAATTAGGGATTGAAAGTGCTTTCAGTTGATCTTTGTAGCCACAGTATTTCTTTACATTATGCCTGCGATGCTATGCTCTCATTCTCTCCATTCAGTGATAGCTACGTTTATGATCTGTGCAAGTTCCAGACTCCAGCAATCAACCACTATCTGGAATTACTGTAAGTTGTTCACCTAAAATTTTCCTACTTGGAAACTGGTATAACATTAGATTAATGTGCAGGTTTCTACTTCTGTAGCGCAGTGTAGTTTCAGTCATCAGGTGATCCCTAACTGGAGAATATACCCTTGTTTTTGTGAGAAACTGTTTCAGTAAATTTTCCTTTGAAGAACAAGATAGTTCAAAGTAGTAGTGAAATTACAAGTAATAGTAGTGTAATTATGTTGATCAATTTCTAGAGAAGAAAAAAAAAATTTACGAAGCCAGAAGATGATTAGAGGGGAGACTGTGGTGAGGACAACCAATCCTTGTTGATCTTTTACAGTCATGGGGGAATATGCTTTCATTATTACACTTACAAACCCCTATGTGTTGCTCCTGTATTCAGAAATACGTTCAGTAACGTGGCAGGAATCCAGCAGCAGTTCCTGCATTATCCCTGTGTGTTTTGCCTCTGCCTTAAGTACCTGTTCTAGCTCCACAATATGTTCTCAGCGCCGCTCCACCATAAATATGACCGTTTTCTTCTTTAAATGCCTGCAGCAGCCCAACGAACAGTGAAAGGGCTGGAGTGAGCCTGAAGAAGAGGAATTACGTATTTCTGGATATATTTGGTAACACTGACCAATTAAGCATTTTTAATATGTAAACAGTTAAATATTTTTGCACAAGTCCCCAGTCCCCACTGGATCCTGCCTTGGGATAAACTATGAGCTTATTACAGCTCTACTAAAGTGCCTTTTTCATACCCTTCATACCCTTTTTTTTTTTTTTTTAAGATGTAGACTATATTGCTAAGGGGGAGAGAGACAGAGAAATGGGGATTGGTATACCACACAGTGAAAGGATTAAAATGGGGATTAGTATACCTTACAGTAAGAGAAATGGGGATCGGTATACCTCATAAAGAGAGAAATGGGGATCGGTATACCTCATTTAAAGCATACTCTCTTACTACCTTTATGGCATCCTCACACCTTGCTGATGAGTATAGGGTCATGAATGCACAAGACTTCCAGGTGCAGAACCATTACGGAACGGTTGGGCTAATCCTGCAGCTGTGACTTCTCCATCATAGGCTGCCTGCTGTGGAATCAGTGAAAGAAACGGCATGTGTCTGTTATGGGCATCAGCAAACCAATAGCATGTATTGAGGACATGGCTGCTAAAATGTGAGCACAAATCAGATGATTGAAGTCACAATTTCTGCACAGACTGGAACAAAAGGCTTCAGTTTTACAGAGCGCAGAGCTGGCGTATGCAGAATGAGAGAGGGTTACAGGAAGATTCAGATTGGGGCCTAAAAGGACAGTAGGGTCTTCGTAACTGCTTGTGTGACTGATTGAATTTGCAGGAAACAACAGTTACAATATCAGCATTTTTCTTTAGCCTGCCAAAAAGAGATTCTTAATTCCTCTTGCCCTGCGACTGTCAAACTCTGAGCTAGTTCCTGACTCTTTGGTCCTTCTTCTTTTTAGCCATACTAGACACAGACAGCATAATCCAGTTCTCACATGCTGATTAGTTACTGAAGTAATTTCTGACAACCATTCCCTTACCCCTACACTTGTGCATCAGGAAAAATGATTCGAGCCCCACTCAGTATGATTATGAACCACTCTCGATAATGAAACTGCACTGAGGTGTTAACTTATTTTAAACATTGTACCTGTTGAAATTTTGCATCCCTCTTTGTAGTACATTTGTATTTTGGTAAGGAATTGTATTTTCCCCCATGGTTAAACTATCACTTCATGCTTATCTTCCCCCTTTGAATTATAGTTGGTCCTTCATTCCAAGCACTTTATGCTATCTGTAATGGGATCTATTTTTGCACTGGAATATATATTAACTTTGCAAAATCTAGAGAGATTTCACAACAGAAATATCTGAGTTAAATCCTTAAATGGACATTTTCATTAAAAGCAAAAAAATATATATTTGTATTTGCTAATAACTGTTTATGTGAAGTATTAAAAGGCACTCTTAATTGCCTTGTATTAAGTCAAAAAATAAAGCTATTGTAGCACCGTTGGTCTCTAAAGTGTCACTTATATACTTTACTAGAAGCTTTTGGTCTTCGCTCTGTTTTGATGTGAGCTTTCATATATAAAACAGGTGCCAGTTTTGGTATCTTCCTAAGCTAACATGGGCTACATGTTATTTTCAGGTAAGTGAGATGGTGCAAGATTTGAAAAAGAAACTTGAGTTTTACCTAGTGAAGTTATTAAATAACCTTCAACAAACCCTGAAAATATAAGTGATGGTTTAACTGCCACATCCAGCTGCAGAATTTATAAACACCACACACTTGATTGGATGTTTAAATCCAAAGTTAGGTAGTAACCTCTGAATAATTCCAACATAAGGCACAGCAAGCTGAAAGTTTACTAAAAATCACTGAAACTACCTGTTTTCATGATAAAGGAAAAATGTTTAAGTAAAAAGACTGAAATAGCCTAAGCCTTAGCCAGTAAGAAATTAAAGGAAAATCCCTCAAATTATTACTACACTGACTTTGAATAGCGGCTCAGATTCCCCCCAAAAGACCTGGTTCTAACATTCTGTCCTACTATTATAGTAGCTTATTATAGGACTATAGTCCTACTGTTAACCAGCCATGTTATCAACCAATTATTTTAAGTTACAGTTTTTCAACAAAACTAATCTTGAGATGGGAAGCTAACTAGAACTTACTGATTTTTCAGCATTAGTCTACTCAATGTGGGCTGATTCAGTTGTGCTTGATTTGTCAACAACTTGTGCTAAAAACCATATTGGCTATGGTATAAAACACACCGAGTATTCTTCCTGTTGAACAGCAGTGACAAGGAAAATAGTCGTTTTTACTAAAAACTTATATATTCTATGCTTTTAGAAAACTTCCAGTTAAAAAACAACAAAAAAGAAGCAACTCCATTGCTGCCTTAGTGTGCAGAATCTTACTAGTACCCTATGCCATTTTGTCCATACTTGTTTTTTTTTTTTAAAGTCGACTACCTGCTGAAGCAACTGGCATATGGCTAGTTATAATACTGTATATAAAACAGCCCATGTGCTCTCTGCGCTGCTGTGCTCTCTAGCTTATCAAGGGACAGCTCATTTTCCCTGGAGCAGCTATTTTTAACATTTTTAGTGACCAAAACACAAAACCTGCAGGATGCTGTACTTTAAGAATAGCTTTATCACTTTGAAGTTTCAAAGAACAATAACACAGAAGTAAGCATTTGCACTTTACACAAATTTATTTGGCTTTTAACAGTCTGGCAAAAATATTTAAAAACCTGTAAGCATCTGCATATCAGCTGAGCTTGTGATATACATCTGAATGTGAAGGTCCAATCATTTTTGGCACATTAAACAAATATTGAGAGCTAAATTAAAGTATTATGCTGTAATTGACAGTTTTGAGAAAATCATTTACTGAATACAAAATGAGAGTTGAAATGACCTGAAATCAGTGAGTAGATAAACACCACCTGACCAGATTTGTTGCATGATCTCTTGCACATTAACTCCAATTGCATCAAAATTTTACACTATTAAGAATTAATACAAAACATCCCATTGAAATGGTCAAAACACAATACTTTGGACACAACGACAAGTAGGAGCATCCTTCTTAAGCCAGTATATAACAACAATTGATATAACAATTACAAAAATAACCAAAATACAGTATGAAAATAGTATTGCACAATTGTAACTTTGGAAAAGAGCCAGTTAGTTAGGTTATTGGTCTGATTAATGATCTTTCTATAAAGAAACATATTAAGAAGTCAGGGCTGAAATGAAGAATTTGCAGAGTAAATTTCATGCTATAACTGCTACGTCTTGAATTCCTATTGGGGGATCTAAGGCTATCACAATAAACTCTTCTATTTTGCTTTCTACTAATTTACAATGCCAGAGATGTGCTTTGTACCTGTATCTAGTAAACTGAAGAACAACTGGTTCTGTTCATAAGGGTATTAAGATCCATGTGATGGCACTTGCTGATAGCACTTGTGTCTTGTATCCTTCCTACCATTGGCTACATAATTTAGCAGAAGGCTACTTGAGTGGCGAACAAGGCACAGGAACCAGCAGCATATTTTGTTGGGTCTCCAGGAATCGGACACTTTCCCGCACTGCAATTAAATAATATGTAATTAAGACATAAGTCATAAAAGGAGTAGTATTTTTCATGGCACATGAGTCTCCTCCTCTTACCAGCTGCTACCACTCTGGCATCTTCATGGGCCTTGTGCCTTCCCGATGCCCGGTCGTCTGCATTCTCATTCCACCAGACCACATGGACTGAGAAAAGAGGAACAGAGTTATTGTTTGAATGCCATTACTGTTACGTTATAATACAGCAGGTCTAACTGCCTGCCTTCGAGTGTTAGCTGCCTTGCATCTAACAAAAACAGTTAAAGCAGTTTTAAAAAAAAAGGAAAAAAAAAACAGACAAGCAGTTTGTGAGCCAGTCCTTTGATCCTTTGTTGGGATTTTGAAGTCTGACTGTTTAACCTTATCTGAGAATATTTTTCTCAAACAGTACCATCCTGCTTAAGCCTATAAACCGACACACAAAACTGAGTTCAAGGACTGTTTACAGAACTTGGGGGACCCACAGGGACATTTGATCAACCAGCCAGTCCTGAGGCAGGATGAGCATTTGCCCCTCTGTGCCAAAGTCTGCAAAAGAAATTTATCTGTAATTGTACCTGTATTAAGTAACCCATATTCTGTGTGGAAAACACCGATCAGCTTAGTGTAGCCTGTGTTGATGTGAGTGCTGATTGCAGCTCGAAATGCTTCACCCCACAGAGCTGGCCCACCAGGTTTCATCTGAAAAGTAACCCATTCATACACTCCTGGAGAAAGATGAAAAGAAAACTTCAAGTAAAAAGTACAAATTAGCAGCTAACTCTCTGTCTTTCACAGTTATGGAATTTATTGTTAAATTAGTACAGCAATTCCCTGTCATTTGGGGACAAACCAAGAAACTGCTGCTTGATCCCAGAGTCCACTGCATCCCACAGGTCCTATAGTCACAAGAAAACAGATAAGCTGCTGTTTTAATTCAAGCTATTTCATTGTTAAGTAAAGGTACAGCTGTTGAGAGGAATAAAAAGCCTCACATGAAGCCCAACTTAAAGGCAAACAGTTGCTGAAAATTTGAGGAGAATTAGACTTCTTTGCAGAAACCACAAACATGTAAAACATCTTTGTCGGTTTTGGATGGCTGATCTAAGATAACCTGAGCTGGCTGAACTTAGACTTGTGATGGCTTCTGAAACTGAAGTTATTTATGACATTATAAAGCTCCTTTTATCAGTCACATCTGAAAAAACAAGCAACACACCAAGACTACCTTATCATAGTTAAGAAAAAAATAATTGCATGATTTGCTAAATGATTTTCCTGGTTGCAGTATAATATGTTATCCGTCTTATTTCCATGCAGATAGTTACTACAGACCTTAACCACTGACACTAGCAATCAAGGCAACTGACACAGGGCAATATTTCTTCTGTTTCCATTCTTCCATGCGGGACTAGAGGAAAAAAAATGGGATGAAATGTTTCAACAGTCAGCCATCCAATTTTAGCAGAAAATTGGATGCTAATGATTTCAGTTGTAACACAGGATAAAAATCAGCATTTCAGGGAAACAAAGATTCTTGTATGTATGCATAACCCGAGTGCTCAGACAGGACAATTCTGAAACAATTCCACTTAACAGCAACAACAGAGTCTGCCCATTTTCATAAACGGGTGAACAGTCAAAGTGCTATGTATCTGCCACTGAGAAATTAAAATACGTTAACAGCAGGAAAAAAAAATCTATGATTTGCAAAGTATGTTTCCCTTGCACATATCTTTAAGTAGTTTACCGCTTTTTGTTTTTTTTTTTTCCTTAAAGCTACCATATGGAAGAAAGAGTAACAAAAAACTAATTAAATAAAATATGGATAGAAGTTAGGAATAACTGGTCAAAACACTACTACAAAACAGTCACTTTTAACTATTCAGTTAAGCAATTCATGATTTTTTTCACAATCTGAACAAGCAGGCCAACAACGTGTGTTACTGATACAAACTTTGTACCTCATCTCCATAGTATCACCTTTTTCCCATAGATGTATGTGCTCTTGTTATATAAAGGCTTATAAAAAGATGTAATATTCAGTTTAAACATTAAGCCATTTTGTGTTAGTCGGTCAGCATCAATAACTCAAATCAATAAAACTGAAGATAAGCTCACCGCCTTCCTTTGGAGGCTTCCCAAGTTGACACCAGGGTACCAGATAAGCAACTTCATTATGTTGTTTCTCTATACAGGCAAGAGCTGGAGAAAGGAACTTTCCCTGCCAGTCTTTGTCATTGGCCAGTGCAGTTCGGACTGCTGTTCTGTGGGCAAAATTATCTGGAAGAAAGCAAAAAAAATATATATGCCTACATACCGTATTGAGTTCTGAAAACTGTGATCTATGCCACAACAGACGCAAGCCAAATGTTCATTACAAAGAGGCAAGTTGCACACAAACAAGTCTGAAGCTTGGGTTTTCAAATAGACTATTAGTTTGAAATAAATATTTTAAATGCCTTTAAACTCTGAAAAAATCTTAGCTCTCAAATTTAAATGGTTTCAAGCTAAATTTACAGGAAAGGTTTATAAAAGCATTAAAATATAGTAAGCTATGTTAAGAAGAACTTCTATGTGATTTCTGCAGTTACACCTGGATATATGGCAAGAGTTACGAAGGATAAGGTAGTCTAAAGGCAGGGCAGTAGGCAAGAAGTGAACTGGAAATTAAAATGAAGAAAATATAGTAGTCTACCCAGATTTGTTTTTAAATGCAAACTTTCGCCTTATGCAAAATTACATTAAACTGACAAATGTAGAAATAAGTCTTTTCTCTATAAAAAGATATTAAATTCCAATATGCTATGCCTTTACATACTTTAGTTTAAAAAGAAGACATGTGTAGGATTCCTTCAATAAAGAGCCATCGAATTTGAACTGCTTAGGCAGTAATAAAATCTTGTGCAATATATTTATGCGCATAGTTTTCAGTAACAGGAATAGGAAAAAAAATACAAGATTTGAGAATGGGAAGATGCTTGGGAAGATACTTAAGAAGTATAAGTATCTTGGGACTGAAAACCAAACCAAACTAAAAAAAACAGTTATTTTAAACTATTAAAGAGATGTGAGCGGGACTATGATGAAATAAGGATGTTAAACCTCAAATGCAGAAACATTACCAGGAAATGAACAAACAAAATTTGTAGGATTCTTTTATTTTCTTTTATAATTCATTTTAGAGTTTATAATCATCTAAAAAAAAACAAAAATGGTTTTAAGAATTAGCCAAACAAAAAAAAAACTGCAGAACAAAAATAAATGTAGGAAAAGCAGAAGGATGTGTTCTTCACAGACACATTGATACTCAT